GCGGGTGGCCGGGCAGGGGCAGCCCCGACCTGTCCCCTCCTAACTGGGCTGTCGGCCCACCGTCCCCCCTTGCAGTACGTTCCCGTCAAGGGCGACCACGTCATAGGAATAGTGACGGCCAAAGCGGGGGACGTCTTTAAGCTGGACGTCGGGGGGAGCGAGCAGGCGTCGCTGTCCTACTTGGCCTTTGAAGGAGCCACGAAGAGGAACAGGCCGAATGTGCAGGTACTGGCTGTGTTTATTGGAAGTAAGGCTTTAGCCACGTCGTGTGGTGGCGCTTCTGTCACGTTTTGGCAGTCTGTCTTAGCAAGAGGTACAAGTCGCACGTGAGAGGAGCGTGGGTTTATGTGCAGGGATTTTGCTGTGGCCCTCCTTTTGCAGAATTAGGCTGTGGGCTCTCTGAGGCTTCTTAGGAGAACATGTGCAGTTTGGGGTCTGTCAGACGGCAGGCGTTTCGGCTCCGTACCTTTTAACATCCCTGTAATACTGCCAGCGGGAGGTGCAGTTCACAGGAAATGTGCATCCAGGGGGGCACTCTGAAGCTAAGGTTTTAAAACAAGCTTTTACGCTGATATTGGTAGGAAACAGTTGGCTGAAGCTAAGGTTTTAAAACAAGCTTTTACGCTATCTGATATTGGTAGGAAACAGTTGTTTTTTTAATAACACTTACAAACAGCTGTATGGCACATACATGCCACAGCTTCTGCACTGAACTGAAACGCCATCACCAGAATGTAAAAATGGACTGTAAAGAGAAACAAAATGGGTTAGTGTGGGGTTTTTTGTTGTTGTCCTGATAAATGGCTACAAGAGCAGGTTGCTTAGACTTTTAATACCCTTCCAGTATGAAGAGAGAAGAACTACTGTTTGGAATGCAAAAAATAAGATGAATACATTTCTATGCTGAAATTTATCCTGAAATAATAAAATTCTGTACTTTTTTACCTTTCAAATTCTACTATTGATATAATTGTTCCTAGAGAATGTTTCCTTTGGAAGAAGAGAAAATTCCTATTATACCAGTCTATTTTTCTGTCTTCAATATTTTAAAACTATATTGTGGTCTCATGGGAGGGCCTTTACCAACTGAGTATTTCTTATACATGATCTTCTCTACAGTATGATCTTCTCTAATACTTTTGCTTTTTGACACTGCTTTGTTTAGGTGGGAGATCTTATTTATGGTCAGTTCCTTGTAGCAAATAAAGACATGGAACCAGAGATGGTCTGTATTGACAGCAGTGGAAGATCAAGTGGAATGGGAATAATTGGACAAGATGGCTTCCTCTTTAAAGTTTCCTTAGGTCTGATAAGAAAGTAAGTATTAAGGAAAGTAAGTAGTCACTCTCATGTAATATGGCGGGTAGGATTTGCACTGTTTCCTCTGAGCAGTGCTGGCAATTTCATAATCAGTGTATGATTGGTTTAGTGCATTTGTACTGGTTTTACTGAATAGAGTATGGATATTGACCTAGAAGGAGTATTTCCCCCCTTAAGAGATTTAGCTGCTCTTGTTTATGGTGTTGTGTGACCTGTTTAATAAATGTGATGTGGTTGCCAAGGCTGTACAGAAAATAAAACCATTGACCTGGGGAAAACAAACATTCAAGCTGAGATTTCAGGTATGTATCTACTACTTTGGAGTTTAAAACTTGGAAATGCTTACTCTCCTTTTTCTGCTTAATGAGGTAGTGGTGGATGTAAAATTGGCTGGCAGCTGATTAAAGGGGCCTTTCCATACCAATACATTATTTTCTGGCTTCCAAAGAAAAATAAGTTGCATTGAAATAAGAGTACAGATAGAAAATTTGTGAGATTTTCATTAAAAACTGACATGTTAATCCAGGAACAGTTCCATAAGCTTTTAAATGTATTGTGAACTTTGGACTTACTTATGCTGATGTAAATAGAAGACTTGTGACTATCAAAGAATACCAGCTTATACAGATAAATGATAGTTAAGCTTTATTGCTTTTGGGTAGGGTTTTTTTGTTTGGTTTTGTCATTCTTTGGAAAAGCAATCTGGAGATGCAGAGCAGCTATTTCATACCTGGGCTTTTTAAGTAATGATTTGTCTGGTTTATATGTCCCATCAGAAGTCAGTCTGAACTGATACAAAATATGTCGCAGCTATTCTGCTTCTCTTCCAAACTTTGTCTGTGTGCAAGTAAAGAAGTAACAGTACAAGTAAACTGCTGAATTCTGATATGTTTGCTTCTTTGAGAAAGCTTTTGAAGCTTGATTTAATCTTAGATGTATTACAACATTTCTATTTTTCAGTATGCTGTCACCTAATAAAACCAAAATGTTCTGTTTACTGCTGTTAATATTGTCTCCTAAAGGAGAAGGCAAGTCATGTTTTGAAAGACACGTCTTCAACTCTGGTGTCAAATTTATAAATAGCAGCACTTTAAACATGTCACTTTGTCAAACGGTGTAGTTTTAGAATTTTTTAAATGATAGAATTGTTATAAATTACCAATTCACTTTAAATTTGTCAGGTATTGCTTCTGAATCTAATAAGAAAAAGCAAATTCACAAGTGATGTTATTTATTAGGTGCATGTATTTAATATGAGAGGAGGATTAAAAATCTGACCTTATATTGCTATTTTAGATGCATATGCAACTTGATCATCTTACCTTTTGGTGCTGCTTTAATAGCTCATGTAGTGCCAAGTACTGCAGCGTAGTTATTGATTGATAATAATGTGGTGTCTATCAAATGTGAGCACTTCTTCCTCTGACTTTTTTTAATCTTGTTTGCAGACTCTTGGCTCCCAAATGTGAAATAATTCAGGAGTTGTCACAATTGTACCCATTTGAGCTGGTGCTGGGAATGAATGGAAGAATATGGGTAAAAGCTAAAACAGTTCAACAGACTTTAATTATAGTAAATATTTTGGAAGCCTGTGAGTATATGACTGCAGAACAGAGAAAACAAGCACTTGCCAAATTGTCAGGGAATTGATAAGAGAGAACCTTGAGGATTTGGTTGAGATGACTGTAGGGTGTTTTGGTTATTTTTGCATTCAGATTTATATTAAAAGCCTTTTTTTAAATTAAGTACTAGACTTTTGTGTTATTCTTCAGCTCCCTTCTTTATCCACTCAGCTTGTTCTGTCTTGCTTAGGAACTTTGGTTTTTACTTGCTTTTATGATAATGAAACCCTGTTTATGTTTATGGATTTTCTGACTTATGTGGAGACAGTCTTTAAAAGCTTCCATTAGCTCTGAGTTTTGAGGTCTAAGGAAGTCTTTTGTAAGAAAATGGTCAGTTTGTAAACTGCATATATTTGGGTTTTTTGTCAATATTAACATTTCAAGCAATACATGTTTGCTTGGGGTAGCAGAAGGTTTTCTACCAGTCATTCATTCTGGTCAGGTGCTCTAATTACACAGTGACAAGAAGTGATTATTTAATACTTCACCAAATTTGGGGATAGAAACACTGGTGGAGAATACCAGAAAAAAAATTACATGGTGTAGCATTAAATAATCATAGGGTGGTTAAGGCAGATGATCAGATAAGACTGAACATATGGTCACAGTGACCTTACTACTTTTCCCTAAAAGATAACCTGGCTAGTAGTCTTAAGGAAATAGTGATTAGGATGCAATTTCAGTATGAACCTTCAGGAGGCTTAATGGCTCACTGGAGGTAAAAAAAATACACTTAACAGCAATGCTATCTGAAGTCACTTGCAACTTTTTCGTAAGTGCTTTTTAACTAGAGATTAGGTAAAGCAGCAACAGCCACATATTTCGTAATTCTAGACCTTGTAGACTTACTTTGTTTTGTTACAGCATGAAGATTCCATACAGCTTTGTTTCATGTTTAACAAAATCAGCATTTCTGAAAAAGGATGTATTAGGCTTCATTGTGTAGTAGTTCCTCACATAGAATCATTTGGTTGCAGAAGACCTTTAAGATCATTGAGTCCAACTGTACCTGTTCACTACTAAACCAGATCACTAAGCACCTCATCCACCCATCTTTTAAATATCTCCAGGAATGGGGACTCAACCACATCCCTGGGTAGCCTGTTCCAGTGTCTGGTAACTCTTTCAGTGAAGAAATTTTTCCTAATACTCAATCTAAACATCCCCTGGTGCAACTTGAGGCCATTTCTTCTTGTCCTATCCTTTCTTACCTGGGAGAAGAGACCAACACCCACCTTGCTACAACCTCCTTTCAGGTAGTTGTAGACAGCAATGAGGTCTCCCCTCAGTCTCCTCTTCTCCAGGCTAAATAAGCCCAGTTCCCTCAGTCTCTCCTCATGAGACTTGTGTTCCAGACCCTTCACCAGCTTCGTTGCCCTTTTCTGGACACATTCCAGCATCTCGAATTCCTTTTAGTGAGGGGCCCAAAACTGAACCCAGTATTCAAGGTGTGGTCTCACCAGCGCTGAGTACAGGGGAAGGATCACTTCTGTACTCCTGCTGGCCACACTATTTCTGATACAAGCCAGGATGCCGTTGGCCCTCTTGGCCACCTGGGCACACTGCTGGCTCATACTTAGTTGGCTGTTGACCAGTACCCCCAGATCCCTTTCTGTGAAGCAGTTTTCCAGCCACTCATCCCCAAGCCTGTAGTGTTGCATGGGGTTGTGATTAAAGTGCAGGACCTGGCACTTGGCTTTGTTGAACCTCATGCAGTTGGCCAGAGCCCATCAATCCAGCCTGTCCAGATCCTGTTCTAGACCCTACCCTCAAGAAGAGCAACACTTCCACCCAGCTTAGTGTCATGCAAACTTGCTGAGGGTGCACTCGATCCCCATGTCCAAGTTGTTGATGAAGGTGTTAAACAGAACTGGCCCCAACACTGAGCCGTGGGGAGTACCACTTGTGACTGCCTTCCAAATGGATTTAGCTCCATTCACAACAACTCTTTGGTCCCAGCCATCCAGCCAGTTTTTTACCCAGCAAAGAGTATACCTGTCCAGGCAACGGGCAGCTGGTTTCTCAAGCAGAATGCTGTGGGGAAACTGTGTCAAAGGCTTTGCTAAAGTTCAGGTACACCACATCCACAGCCTTTCCCTCATCCCTTAAGTGTGTCACCTTGTCATAGAAGGAGATCAGGTCAGTCAAGTGGGATCTGCCCTTCCTAAACCCAAACCTATGCACATGGAGGTAAATGCTGTCCTAGGAAGGGTAAGCTGTCAGTCTGTTTTAGTATGTGGATAGTTTGCTACTGTTCTTTTGAGGGAGGAGGAGAATCCTGGAGTAATGGAAGGGGAATTACCAATACCTGCTTCCTGTAGGAGAAAAGTTTGACTGTAGGTACCCAATGAGCTGCATGGGAGCTGTCTAAGCAGTTACTTAGATCAATGATGTTTTGTTGTTCTTAATAAGCTGATTAGTTTGATAGCAATAGTTAAATTACAAAAAATGGACTAATTAGACTAAGCCTGAATACCTTCTTAATTCCAAGTGGAAACAAAATTCTTCCTATTTATTCTGTGTTTCATCCGAAATTCAGCCAGCCTGTGGTATTTGGTGATACGGTTTTCTTTGGCATCTTTCTCATTTAGAAAATGCTTCAGTTCAGAGCCAATCCTCTGACTCATCTTTAATATGCTTACCTAGGGCTTTCCCAATTCAATAAAAACACAACTCTAATGGCTTCCATAAGAGTCTAATGGCTGCAATTCTGAATTCTTTCTGGATTTCACTGGCCTCCTTATTTTGCGTTTAGGGTTATTGCTTATGTGGATTGTTAGTTCTTTAGTTGTCTTTTTTCACCTGTCTTCTCCCAGCTGAAGTGACTTTCATTCACATCCTGTCAAACCTTTAGGCCTAAAATCTATTGCTACATGTGAAAGGCTGTAATTTAAGAAGGATTTCACTATTTCTGCTCTTCTCTAGTGTTTTTTCAGCTTTAGCTAACCAGAGCCCCTGCAGGTTGTCTGGAACAATAGCTGGCATAAGCAGAAAAGTACTTGCCAAATCATCTCAGGGTGCTAACTTTGTTTTCTATGAATGTTCTTGGATCATACTAGTAAAACCACAGGAATGGGAAATGACGTGGATTGTTTCCTGAAGAGTTGTGGCTTGAAATGCAATTAGCCTTACCACTCCCCCTTTTACCTGTCTAAGCAACCTCCCTTCCCTCCCGAAATTCGGAGTTTTAGGCCTAACCTGCAAGGTACATGAACAGTGCTCCATTTAAAAATGCTTGTTTGGTGGTGCAGAACAGCAAATGGTGACCTTGAAAGTTTTTGACATCATCAGTGCCCTATTTCACACCACCTGTTATTCTGTCAGTCAACTGCTTATTACCCAAATATAACCTTAGCTAAAGAGCAGGAAACAAAATGCATTAAAAATTATGCTTGTTTTTCATTTAACAAAATGGTGTACCCACAAGGTATTTGAGTTTTACCCCCTACACAACCATTTTAAGTATGTACTACAAAAGTTGGTTTGACAATTTATGCAGTGGCAAAAATGACATTGGATGTGAGCAGAGTGGGTGTGGGGAAAAATGCTTGAAAGTGAATATATGTAAACACGTTGCTGAAAGAAGGCAGTATTGGTGTTTTGTTTTGTTGGGTTTTTTTACTTGGAGAAAACTGCTTTCCTTAAACCAATTACTGGCTATGACAAGCTTTCTCTAATGAACAAAATATTCAGGCAAAATCTATATGATACCTCTGTAAACTTTTAGTTCTGGCTTGGTGACTAAACCCGTATCACCAGAAAGAGTGACACAGAATATAACTTGGTTCTAGGAAGAAAGGCGGATCATGAGTTAATTACGTGTTCTGCTGGAAATGTTACAGGAAGTCTTTCACATTCCCATTAAAGGCACATAAACACAGGAAATGGAACTCGAAATGGAACTTACAGAAGTGATGCTGTGGGCTTGAAATGTACCTTGCTTAGCGGAGTGTCTTTGTTGTGTTTATCTGCATGATAATGTAATTGTTTAGAGTTGTTCATTTCAGATACTCTGTGATTGTTCATTGGGTGCTTTATTATATTGCTTTTCTTTCAAGTTCTTGGGATGAAAGTTAGGAAGTCAAGATTGTAGATGTCAACATGGACAGAGGCCATATTCGCAGAGATGAGCACAACCCCTTAAAAAGAAAGTTCACAAAGAATTAAATGGAAATCATACATTGAAAAGATGAAATATGTCTGTGGCCCTTCTGAGGTTGATGTGTTGTAGAAGGACCAAGAATAAATGCTAACAGAAAGTACAGATATGCAGTGGTGAAACTAAGTGTGATGGTAAAACATTTATTTTGCTCTGGCAGAAGAAAGTTGCTTAGACAAATAGTTCAATGTGATGAGAGGGTTAAGAGCTTAACTCTAAGGCTATGACTAGAAGTTTATGGTGCCCAGCTACTCATTACCACCTTACCACCAGAAGTTGCAACTGAGGTTTGCTGGCATGTGTATTTGATTCCTAGCCAAGTTCTGTCAAAATGACCCAGACAGGCATCAACACTTTTAATAGCAGCGTTATTTTGTTTTCCTAACCTGGATGTTCTTTTAGCAGAAGAGGTCATGGAATTTTTCTCTTAGATTTTAAATATTAAGAGGAGCTCATCTACTACTGGAAAAGTGTAAATTTGTTAGAGAAAGCCCAGTTCTCTTCCTTGCTGTTTGAAGAAATGATTCCAAGTAACAGTTAAATCCACGAGTTATTTTAAACCTTACAAGTTGGTCACCTCCAAGCTTTACATACTTACATAAAAAAATATTTACACCAGTTTTTCTAGCTACATACAGCCAACTTGGTGAGATACGCGATTTGACTGAGTATAGAAACCAGCTGTCTTAAGGACAATGTAGGACACTTTATTTAGTTGTATTAGTAACACAAGGAGCCTTGTCCTTACTGATGACTTGTATAGATTGCAAGATGTGTAACTACTATTGAAGTCTATAGCAAGGAATTAAAACGTGTCCGTTTCGCCACAACAAGTTGAAAGAGAAATAGCCTAGGAACATGTTGGGTGCCTGGATTTTAATAGACACTGTGTAGTAGTTGTGTGCAGTTAACTGGGACTGTTGCAGAATGACTCTTCTCCTCTGATGTCCTGATCTCGCAGAATTGCAGTTATGGCCTTTTCGGTGCTATCAATGTGGGTATTTTGGGATGCTTATAGAGCCTGAAGATTGATCATTATTCTGGTGGCTTGAATAGACATTAAAAATAACACCCTTTACTAGGCCTCGGTGTCCTACCTTGTACAAGAAAAACTAAAAAATTGGAATAGAATAACAGTATAGGTATCACTGGAGTAAACGGGACAAAGAAAAACTCTAGGCCACGGAGATTCAATTTCGCTTTAATTGCACTCAACCTGACAAAGATATTTAAGGCTGAAGGATAGAGAAGGACTGATGACTTCATCCCCTTTTTCCAAGGCTTTGGTTATCTGTTGCATTGTTGTAAATGGTAGGCTTTTCTGTGATTCAGTGTTTATTAGGCCACTGCCAAAAGAGATTTGTGTCAGTATCTGTATATCCGTTAAAAGACTTTCTTCCTGCTCTGGCCCAGAGTGTGTTGCACCAATCTCTTCTTGGTGTTCCCCTGCAAACTGCTCATGTGGGTGAAACTGATTTCAAAAGACCTGTATGTCCTTTGGTTTCTTCAGTGACTACCGCACCCTGATCTTAGTTAAGATAAATCTAAGATCCTGCATCCAGGTTGTCTGTAGACAGACTGGTGCTTTTATTTCCTGAGAATCGGGATGAGGTTGGAAACACCACCCCATGAGTACATATCATGGTACATAGCCAAGCAAGAGATGGCTTTTGCCTGCTCTAGCTGAAACCTATGTCAGACTGCATTGGTGTCTATGTGCCTTTAGAAGCACATGGGTGAAAAGTTCAAGCTGTATTTTTGTATCCAATCTTACTGGCTCAATATAGAAAATCTTAATTAGTGTGGAAATCCTTCTACAGACATAGGGCCTAGATCCTGCCTTAGCCCACCACCGTCTGTTTCCTCACTGCTTTTGAGATCTCCTGTCTCCTGATAGAAAAGACAGTTTGTTTAACAACGCCCCTGGTCTAAAGC